TTACCTTTATATTACCTGGATTACTCGTTTTCTTTGATTATCACATCATTTCTAGCATTATAAAATACAACACTTTTCTGAATTGAAATTTTATTTTGCAAAAATATCAAAAATTTTCACTTTTTTTGTTTGAAAAAAAAAATAAAATAAAAAAATGAAAGCAATTTTTTTGTTTGAAGAAAAAATTTTTTTTCTTAGTTAACGGGTAATTGTACCTGAAATGATGGGTAAATGAATAATGTATTTTAAACAGTAGAAATTGGGTAATATTTGAAATGTTGGATAGCATTTACAAGTAAGGTTTTAGAAATTATCATATGTGTATTTACTGATAATCTAACTGATTGAATAAATTATAACCAATAATTAAAGATTGATTAATGATCGATCAGCTGAGAGATTTGGAGGTTAAATACGTAACTTTATGAAACGTCTCAACGAATACTCGTAAAACACGTGGATTTTTATTCTTGGCTAATTAAATCACTCATACATTTTCAATAATTCGGAAAGCAATCGATTATCATTGTGTTGTCTGATATTTGTTTTGAATGTCAAATTTGAAATATGACAGTGTGACAAGGACGTAGTTAACCTGTGGGAAATTATTAAAAAGTTGTGAAAAGAAAGGAAGAATAAACAAACAAATGATTGATCACTGATAAGTTGATAATCATGAATGAGTCAATAGTGCTTACAGATGTTTAAATCTTTTTTCAAATTTCAAAAAAAAAAAAAATACTCCCAACAGTTGATTAATTCATAATTAAAACAAAAGTTTCAATTTTTTAGGCAAAAATTTATTTAATAGAACAAATCTCATATGAAAATATTATTTCCACATAACTTTTGCATATTTAATACAAAATTTTCGAAGTGTAAATTGATTGTCAACAATTTAACTAATTAAATTAAATTAAATTAATAAGCAAACGGATGACGAATGCATGTTTAATTAATTTTAGTTCTATCAAAAATAAATAAACCAATTTTAGTAAAAATTGGATATGGAAACTTTACCAAGCATATTTGTAAAACGTGAGTTACATCAAATTAGATTAACTTGTAAAGTTCAAAGGTCGCATCTAGCCTTTTTTTTTTAACTTGAAACGAAATTTTGCTTTTCAGTAAATTGTGAAGAGAAGAAATACATAATGAAGAATAGCATTTCATACAAATAGCTAAGCTATGGGAGTTGATAAGTCATATGAAGTAATTTAGCATAGTCGAGAATTAGATGAAATGTGTCAAAGTTAATTAATCAGTTAAACGTACTCTTCAAACTTAAACCTTTCAACGTTACACTCTAATATCTAAAACGAGAAGACATCCGGAAAATGTAATGAAACATCTAAAAGCATTCAAGAACACGTAAAGCATCTAAAAGCATTCAAGAACACGTAAAACATCTGAAGCATTCAAGAACACGTAAAGCATCTGAAAGCATTCAAGAACATGTAAAACATCTGAAAGCATTCAGGAACATGTAAAACATCTGAAAGCACTCAAGAACACGTAAAGCATCTAAAAGCATTCAAGAACACGTAAGAACACGTAAAACAGTTCAAATATAAGTCATATAAAGTATTGAAATCATTTGAGAAAGAATGACATCATTACATAAATTTTATAAATATAGAATAAAGTATGAAAATTTTATAAATTTGATCTACGTTACTTCCTTTCATTTCTATTAGCTTTTTTGTATGTAAGAAATTAAATAAAAGATAAAAAAATAATTCTGAGAAAATGAAGTGACATTGATATTTAACTTGTAACTTTATAATTGTTTCCTTCACTTCTTTTTTAACTTTAACTTTTTTAACTCCAATTCAAAATTTTGGTTTATTTTTTTTTGTTAAATATTAAGAAACATAATAATTAAACTTATTTAAAAAACCCAACGTTTATTATCCTCAAAAAAGCATTTTTGAATTAAATAATCTAATTTTCCTCCTAAAATCAATTCACGTATAAATTGCTATCAAAGAAATATTTAATTTAAAAAAAAAAAAATAATTAAAGACAAAAAGTTCCAAAATTTATTTCCATTTGTTTTAATTAATTTATACGTAACTTATTCCACGTTTTTTTTTTTTTTTAATTTAATCATTACGCTATTTAATAGAGATAAAAAATATAGTAAAGTATTTTTAACAAATTAAAATGAATAAAAACTAAATAAGAAATATTTGAAATTTTTTTTGTAAAACAAAATATAAAATGAATAATTGTTATTATTGAACTTTAAATTATTAAAAATTATTTGTTTTGAAATAAAATCTGTGAAATTTATTATAAAGATTTGTTCATTATCATTAAAAAAATCATTTCTAAAATTGCTTTTTAAGGCAACAGCTTATCAAATTTTAATAATGAATATAGCACTTCACCGATTCATTTCTCATTAATTACCTTATGCTCATCACAATCTATAATTTTTAGATTAAGCAAACATTTGCCGATTTTTAATTTACGGATATTTACCTGTCATAATTATGTGTATGTGTGTGTGTGTATGTGCATGTATGTATATGCATGTGCTCAGTGTGTCTATGTCCATTTGTCTGTTACTTAACAATGACCACATATGTCCACTCTGTCCACTATATAATTTCAATATCATTTATAGAGGCTTTCACTCTTTTTTCATTCTTAAATTTTATCCCTTTTTTTTTCTATTTAACATTTAATTCTTGCATTTCATTAAAATAAAACAATATTTGAGAATATTCCAAGATACTAAAACGAAATTTTAATTTAAAATAGAATTAAAAATAATTTTAAATCATATCTAAATAAGATAACAAGCAAAAGCATTAAAGTTTCATTCCTATTTCAAAACAGAAAAAAAAAAAGAATTTTCTTTTTAATAATTTGCAACAAAAAAATCAATGTTAAATTAAAGTTTTAAGATTTAAAAGATAGAAAGGAAATATAATTTTATTATTTCATTCTTTTTTCTCACATTCATTGTATCTTCTCTGTGAATAAATGCTAAATGCATATCGAAAAACGACAAAAAATTGATTCAATTTATTGGCGAAATCCAATAGCTATCTTATTGTCAAGCAAATATGAATAGGTAACTGAAAAGAAGAAAATTTAATTTAATATTTTAGCCCAAAATTCTTTTTTTTTTTCTTTCTTCCATATTTTACTTTTAATAAAAACCGATCACAATGTTATGTTAAATGCCAAATTAAATTAAAATGTTGTATTAACTTCAATTTTCTTCCTTTTAGTCATTTATCTTCTGCCTAAGCAATCGATTAATGGTCAGTAAATTTAGTTTACTTCATCCAAGAATTATACTTCGTCTTAAAATTATAATTCATTTAGGATTGTAGGTCATCCTAGAATTGTAATTCATTCTGGAATTGGAATTTTAGTTCATCCCAGAATTGTTACAATAATTATTCCACTCATTAATTTATATCATTTAATTTGTTCTTTTTTTATGAAATGTTAATTGGTTCATTTGTTTTGAATAAATGAGTAAATTTTGATGCAAATTGTCCACTTTTTTAATTTGCACAAAATTTTAGAATGAAACTATGAGTGCAATAAAAAATAGATTAATATTTTTGTAGTATTTCTAAAATCAACAATGGAGACAATGACCAATTCAATAATATTTCATAAAATTTCAATTCATTTCCCCATGAGAATAGGTAAATAAATTGATTGACAACAGCGTCAAATCTCTGGGTAAATTGCCTTAGTCACAATAGCATTTGTTCGAGAAAATGACCAATTGTATAGGAACACTAGCAGTATGCGCTTTTCATCAATGAATTTTATTACTTTTGTCAACGATCAGGAAATGTCCTTCAAAAGTTTCATCTGTGTCACTTTGCTTCCGAAATTTTATCTTTTACCTCTGTGCACGCATATATTTTATTTATTTATTATTGTTCTTTTCTTAGACTGTTGGAAGAATTCGTTTTCTTTTAGGCATAATTCTTTTACTTTTTGACAAAATTATATTTGATTTTTATTTCGAAAAATTGTTGAAATATTTTAAAGAAATTAATGAATAATTTATTAAACATTTTTTTTTTTTTATTAAACAATTTTGAATTTTCACAAATTTTTAGCAAATTAAATTCTTGATTGTTTGCTTTCTATGAAATTTATTTAAAACAAAACTAAAAGTATTTAAAATGTTTGACAATTTTTAATTAAAAAAATTATTTTTATTTGAAATTAAAATTGCAACCATTTCTTGAGAATTAATTTTGATTTGAATACAATGGTGAGGCCATATTGAGAATATGTGCCCATCATTTACAAGTGGCCAATATCAATTTTGATTGTTTGTTGGCTGCTTTTGAAAAAAGATAGAAAGAGGTTGGCCATATTGATGCTACTAATATGCTTATGCTTATGCTTTACTTAGGCCAACCACTTATAGTTCAATTCATCCATCCTAAAACCTAAATTTATGCAATAATTGCGAATAAGGAACCTTTCAAACCTTCTCTTTCCCAGTGGAATTAAAATTTTTAAAATATTCAAAATGTCTGAATTAAAATTCTTAAAAAATTCAATATGTTTGAATTTAAAAAAAAATTTTTTTTTTTTTTTTTTGATATTTAATGTTAGAATGCTTTGTCAGTTTTCTTCCTTTTAAATATATTTATTATTAACAACTTTTTTTTTTTTGATTTTAAATAATTTTTGTATTAATTTTTAGAAAATTGCTGATTTATATTAATTTTTTTAACATTTTTTAGCGACCATATAAATTTTCTGTGCTCATTGAGTACATATATGTGAGATAATTCCAGATAAACACTGATATGAGTTAAAATAATTTCAGATAAACACTGATATGAGTTAAAATAATTTCAAATAATATATGAAATGTAAATAAATGTCATTCAATTATTATACAAATTAATTATATAATAATAATATTAAATTCATATATACTCGTTTGAATTATATTTTTCTCTCTCACTCTCTCTCTCTCTCTTTTTCAGAAAGATATTAGTATGAAATGGAAAAGCAGTTCACGGAAATTACAACAATTCGGTCAACGATTGACCGTAACACGACAGTATGACGAGTTAGCTGCATACTTTCATTTGACAATTATTACGGTAGCAGCAATTTTAAGTTTTAGTGGTAATATCAATGGTAATTTTGTATTTGATGATCGAGAAGCTATCATCAATAATAAAGCTATTCGACAAATTGGAAAAATTTTGGAAAGTGATTTTTGGGGTTATCCGATACGATCAACACGTAGTCATAAGTCATATCGTCCGGTTACTACTATTACTTTTGCGTAAGTCTTTTTCTTCCTTTCATTATTACTTATTCTTTTCAAATATATCTTTTTTTAAATCATTTTTTTCTTTGATTATTACTTATTATTCTCAAATATTTCATATATATTTTTTTCAAATATACTTATTTTTTTCAAAAGAAGTCTTCTCTTCTTTTTTTTTTTGAGTATTATTTATTATTTTCAAAAAAATATATATATTTTATCATCTCACTTAAATTTCTTTTCATAATTTTAATCAGAGCTGTATTATTTAAAATTAATTTATGTTGCGTACAAAAATTAAATTTTTTTTTTTTTAAATTACGTTTCCTATTACTGATGAAATGATTCATCAACAATTTCCAATAATACATTTAATTTTTCGCTTCGAATAACAACACAATGTTTTTTCATCTTTTTTTTTTAAATCGGAAATTTTTCTTTCTTCTTTAAAATTGATTGCTTAACTAAAAAGAAGGTCAGATTGGACAAACGCTAAAATAAATTTCTAACTATTATTGTTAACTTTTTTTTTTGAATTCAATTATTGTTTTTTTTTTTTTTTCAAAATTGTTTGGTATTTTTTGTGGTTTTTTTTTCTTCAATTTTTTAACAAAAATAAAAACGAAAGAAAAAAAAAAACATTTCATTTTTAATTTAAATATTTTTATAATTTAATTAATAGATTAATTACTTAGTTGAAAATCAATTTGAATTAAATAAATTGATAGAGGAGCAAAGAAACTGATCGTACAGTAGTTAACACTTCAAAATTGAAAAATTTGCATTGTAAATAAATAATTAATAAATTATGCTTAGAGTAATAATTATTTGCTATAAATATTACTCATTCCTGAGAAGTGGTCAGATGTCCTAGAATACTTGAATATCGGATGAGCCAGATGTTCATCACAACAGATGAAATAGCCTTAAAGTACTGTTTTTAATGCAATATCATCCTAAAAGGGCACAGATCAATTATTAAGCTTTTAGTCTAATTTTTTTTTGCTTTTTTTTTTTTTTAAATCTCAAACATTGATAATATGCATTGACACTTAGCTACTTTATAATAAATGACTTTCTCATTTGAATAGAATGGTACCATTGAATTTTCTCTCTCTCTCTCTCACTCTCTCTCTCTCTCTCCTTTTCCTCTTTTATTCGTTTTCTCTTGAAGAAAGAAGTTCTCTGCAAATTTAACTTTTAAATATTAACTTAATAAATTTCTTACTCTACTACTTATATCCATTACTTAATCTTACTGCAGCTATTACTTAGACTAAATTTAAGTAATAGTTGATGAGCCTTTAAATGGATTTATAAAATAATTTGATTACAAGACAGGTTATTCATGAATACTTTTGTGTGGTGTGAAAATGATTGATGTAATTATAAGTGCCTAGTACTAGCCTAAGGGTCATCGAGTGAATTTGCTTGTTGTTTGGGGCAAATTTATGTTCCATAAAATGAAATAACTAGCCATACAAGTGCAATTTATGCAAATTAATGTTATGAAAGGAAGTAAGCTTGAAGAACTTTATTGGATGATGGATAATGCAGAGAAAAGAATTTGGAAATTTCAAACAATCAAAAATTATTATTATATGATAATATTTAAAAATATTTGAATGGGGAAAAAAAAGAAATTATTAATAAGTATGAAATTAATTATTGTAGTAAATAAATTAAATTTTTTTTTTCATCATTAAAAATCTTTTTGTTCCTTCTCTCTCTCTCTCTCTCTCTCTCTCTCTCTCTCGTTTACAAAGCATTTACATTTAATTCTTTAATTTAGTTAAAATGCACAAAAATTATTATTATATGAAAATATTTAAAAATATTTGAATGGGGAAAAAAAGAAATTATTAATAAGTATGAAATTAATTATTGTAGTAAATAAATTAAATATTTTTTGTAGTAAATAAATCAATTTTTTTTTTCTTCATTAAAAATCTTTTTGTTCCTTCTCTCTCTCTCTCTCTCTCTCTCTCTCTCTCGTTTACAAAGCATTTACATTTAATTCTTTAATTTAATTAAAATGCACAAACTATATACTAATTTTGTTATAAGATGTAAAATTTTATATTTAAAAAAAAAGGAAAAAAAAAGAGAGACATTGTTTCGGCAAATTAATTTTAGTACTTTAGTATTTTTAGATTAAGAATCGATCATTTGGATGAGCATTAAATTAATTCAAATATTTAATTAGCAAGGATTACGAGTAACACTTACCATAATCTTACCATAAGGCTTTCATTTCTTTTTTATTTGTTTAAGAGGAATTGCGCAATTTTATTGTCAATCCAAAAATTTTCATTAAAGACATTATTGCATTTGCCATCATTTCTTTTTCTATGACATTTGGATTTTATTAAAATTTTAAAATTTCAAAGCACAAATTATTTTGCTACGAGAATTATTGTTTAGCTTATACACTTGTCATTCCTCTATTATTTGCCATGAAAAATTGAAATAATTTTTTAAAGAATAAATATTAATTAAATAAAAAAAAAAAAGAACAGGGATATCGTTATTTAATTGTATCAATTCTTTTTAAATTCAAATATTTATATTTGAATAGTTAATTAGAATGCAATATCATAACTGTCAATTATTAAATTTAAACTTTAACAGCAACTTTTAATAAATAAATTTTTGAATTAATCCAAACTAAGGACAATCATTAATTACTTTTTCAGGATCAATTATGCAATATCAGGTCTTCATACTACAACTTATCATATTGTTAATATCACATTACATGCAATTATTTGTGTATTACTTTATAAAATACTAATTAACCTATCAAAAATATTTTATGAAAAATATCCCAATCGGATAGCTTTTCATGTTTCATTGTTATTTGCAATCCATCCAATACATTCTGAAGCAGTAAGTTATTATTAATTGATAAAAGATATTTCTTTCCTTTCATTTTTCTTTCTAAATTTATTAACATTATTGAAAGATGTAGTATTTGGTATAGTTTTTTTAATTTAAATGAAAAGATATTTGTTTTTTTTTTTTGTTTTCCTCTTATTTCTTTCATTTTTCTTCCTAAATTTATTAATATTAAAAGATATAACATTTGGAATAGTTTTTTTAATTTTAAGTAAAAAAAATAAAATCGATTGAATAAGACTGGAAATGTTCAATTTATAAGTTTCAAATTCTGTAAACTTTTTTTTTTTTTTTCATTATTTTATGGCATCAAAAATTTCATTCAAATAAATGTACTTCGTTCTTTTTTTTTTTTCAAATATTATTAGTAATAGTTATTTTAGGAATTTTTGTCATTTATATTACTTTGATTTAATTTACAATCAAATTCTTCGTAAAATAAGTGAAAATGAAAAAAAAAAAAAACATATTATAATTTTTTGGAAGTTAAAAAAGCAAATTAGTAAATTTTTTGTTTTCGTTTTTTTTTTAAAAAAATTTATTAAAGAATAAAAAAATTTCTTGCAGGTAGCAAGTATAGTAGGTCGATCTGAATTATTAATGACATTATTTACACTTACTGCATTACATTTATACATCAAATGTTGGTGTAAATCAGAATTTTCAATGAAATCAAAATTTACGATTGTATCACTCAGCGCAATCGCATTGTTTAGTAAGGAACAAGGAATTGTTGTTATGGTTTGTTTACATCAGTTATAAAATTTTATTTTTTAATTATTAATTAATCGTTTTTTTTTTCTTTTTTTTTTGATATTATTCAAAAATTAAATTAAATTTCATTTATTAAAAATTACTTTTTACAGCCACTTTGTGCAACATTTGACATTTGCGCATCAAATATTTCACCAATTCGATTCTTTATTGCATTTAGAAAACGAATGAATAGTGATGGAAGTAATAATGAAATTGATAAGAGTACAGCACATATAATTGTATGTTTTTTTTTTTTTTTTGCATTAATTGCATAATAACTAATTAATATGAAAGCACTTGAGTTGACCTATGACCTTTCTGTTTATAATATTTTTAACATATTTACATGAATTTTTTGTAAACTAATTATTTCATCTTTTAAATATATTACATTTCAGTCTTAAATAGTATTGCAGTAAAATTCTAATAAAAAATATTACTATTACAGAAGAAGTAATTAAATAAACAATTTGTGTGATAAAACTTTCCTTATTTCTATCGATGTATTTGTTTCTTAATTATTTTTCATTGTTTTCCGATATTTTTCTCGATGGAAATCATATTTGATAACTTTCATGCAAATATATAATTTAATTAACATTATTTGTATGATATTTGAATTTTTCATATTTGCTCAAATTTTTTTATCCGTTTGAAAATTTTAAATTTAGCGAATATTTTCAAATAAAAGAGCTCTTTTTTTGTATGTTTCTTTTTGTGGATAAGCTAAAAGTAAACAATTTGAGGTAAACAAAAAAGTTACTAACAATTTCCTTTTTTTTTTTTTTTTTTTGTTTTGTTTTTGCATAAGTTCGAAAAAACAAATTTTGAATCTTTCTTGGAAAAAAATAATTGGGAAATTAATATTAGAAAGGTTAATTATTGCTTAATTAAATAATAACATTTAAACCAAACGAAACCAAATACTTTCGATATTCCATTCTAATCTAATTTTAATCGAAATTTTAATATGCTAGCAATTATGCGCCTAATTAACACCGAAAAATTTCAACTCAAAAGAGAAATTTTAATTTTTGTTAAAATTATCAAATTTTTTTTTTTTGAATTTTTTTTTTTTTTTTAAATTTTAAAATTTTATATTATAGCAACAATATTGTGATTGCATACGTCGGGTGATGATATGTTCAATGATATGCATTGCTTTATTGCTGTTTCGATTTTCAATTAATGGATTTCAATCTCCTCAATTTAGTCCAAATGATAATTTGATCGCTAGTTGTCCATCTGTGTTTTTACGAGTTCGTTTAATCATCGATTTTTTTTCATTATTTTAATCATTTTATTTAAAGATAATTCCATGACTAATGCAATCGTTTTGATTAAAAAATAAGAAATGAGAAAAATTAATGAATTTGTCAAAAATTTTTTAAATGGACCAAAATTTAGAGTAGAAAAGCAATTTTGATAATTGAGACTTAATTGGATTTAATTGTATAATTGTAAATTGTAGATTTATTGCAAAAAGAAAAAATTTTTTTTTTATAAACATTGCTTATTTTAGCTATTTATTTTGTTTAATTTAATTAATGAATTTAAATTCCGTTTCCATTTTAAATTTTCGACACATTTTTAATTTGTGCTCTAAAAAATAACTAATTAATCAATTATTTTAATTCGCTCGTTTAATTAATTAATTAATTGATTATTTGCTAATTTATTTTTTTGCTTAATTAATTAAATCATTTATTAGTTTATTTAATTATCTCGTACATTAATTATGAAAAAAAAACAGTTCAATTTTATTTCAGTTGATTAATTATTGCTACATTTATATGCTTTACATTTGGTTACAACTTTATCCATTTCATTTATGTTTTGATTATTCGATGGGCTGTGTGACACTGATTGAATCTATCAATGATCATCGTTTTTTGATTTCAACAATATTTATCATTGGTGTTATCATATTTATCATTCAATTAATTCGAGGATATTTTG